GCTGCCCCTAGCCGTGACTTGCTGGTCTAGGTTATTCTTCCATATGTTTGGCTCATCTATGCTGCGGATGCAGTGCGTGTGGTGCGTTTCTTGTAGGCCAGCGAGTTCTTTGAAGGCTACCGGTTGAGCTTAAGCTAGATTGAGTAATTACTTATCTCTGTTTATCGTGCTGCCTACTCCAATGTAAGATGAATGATGCTCTTAATGGGCTTAACCGCGAATGAACACTTCGCGTGGAAGGTTGCTCATGTTGACTATCGGAGTGTGATCCCAATCGTGAATGTACGCTTGTTCGTGGGCCTAGTCGAGAGTGCACGTTCTTTCGCGTGCTAAAACTGCAGTATACGCTATCTTGGGGGCCCAATCAGAAGTGTACACTACCCAAACGCTCGGTTCGTGGTTGGTCGAGTGGCTGCTTATTGGGATGCTGCTGGAAAGGTTCTTTGTCTTCCCTGTCCTACTTCGGGACACCTCGTTTGGGGCACGTTGAATCTCGGTGCGCTGTAAGAGCTGGTTCACTAAGGTCATATATTGTGTGAGGGCGCTTGTCAACTCTATGACTTGTAGAGACAAGTGTTGTTCTCCATTTGGGTTGGAATAGCTTGGAAGGAATGCGTCTTCTTGAGCAATGGAAGTGTGGTAGACTCCGGGCCGGAGATTTGAGTTAGAAAATGTCAAATCTGTAGATAAATGTGGTGAAAATGCTCCCAGTTCGATCGTCAATCTGAAAATTTGGAGCTAGGACTGTTGAACTAATCTTGGATCGATTTGGGTTGCTTGGAAAGCCACGGGAGCAGACTGGGCCATATAAGTAGGCTGGGCCACGGTAGTGGACTGCTCAACAGGAGTAAGCTAGGCCACTAGAGAAGGCTGCTTAGGTAGAAGCAGGTTGGGCCATGGGAGTGGGCTTGCTCAGCTTATGGCGTACATGGGTGCGAGGCTAAAGCTCGGCTTGGCAACACATTGGGCTTGGAGTAACATGGCTTAGGTCGTGGTTTTGGTGCTGTGGGCCTTAGATGGCACTGCTTGGGCTTGCTTAGCTGGCACTGGCTTAGGTCGTGGTGGTGGTGCCATGGACCTCGTTGCGGGCGGTGGTCGTGGTGGCCACTGCGGTGGTTGTGCATGGTGGAGCCCTGTAGCCGTGGTGTCGCTCCACCTATGATCACATTTAGCCTCGTGGATCGCCGCGGTCCCATTTCTTGAATATTGGAATTTTCACTTGTTGAATTTTCTAAATTTCTAGCTATTGTATTTCTCTTTTACGTTTTATCAAAGAATATTTGCAAATAAAAAAATTCTAATAATAAGAACATGCGAAAAATATACAAAAGGACAAGAAAAAATAGAGAAAAACCTTTTATGCAAGAGTTTTCTATGAGTGTGTATACTTCAACTCTCAATGAAAACACCAATTTGTGGATGCAAATTTCTTCCTCCTTGTTCTTGGACAAAATTGCACCTACAAAATAAATAACACATTTGGTCAAGGCCAAGAGCCTCACGCGCCCATGATGAATTGGGGTGGGGGGGCTTTGGCCGAAGAACCTCCAATGCCAAAGTTAGAATTTTGAGGAAAAAGTGTTGGAAGAATTTAGATAATTTTAGCAAGAGAATTGGAAGTGAACTTTGAGGAAAAGAATGGGGTTTAAATAGGAGAGTGGCCGGCCTCCTAGGGTGAGAGAGGACCGGCCACCTAGCCTTGTTTGTGGGCTAGGTTCTTGATTTGTGTTATTTGAGAGTTATGGAATAATTACCCAATCAATTAGCTAATTAATAGAATAATTACCTAATTGATTAGCTAATCAATATAATAAAAGGGGAAGATTTTGGGAGTTACCTTGTGGAGAATATTAGATGATTACCTATTTTGGGCACTTTTGACTTGGTTGATGGATGATTGCCCACTGCTCGTGCGTAGGAATCCCGGTATGTCTCAAAGGTATTTTTGTCCTCTTTTATCCAAAAATCCACGTGTCGCCTTATGATTATTTTTGACTCCACAATAGTGATATGCAATTTCATAATCAACATGCATCAAAAATGAACTCAACCTTATCAAATGAACACGAACCCAATTATACGATGAAAACTTGTTGCAGGTTTTGACATCATTTATGTCAAATGAACACAAACCTAATTGGAGTATACTATGAACTCAACCACAAGCATACTGAATTTATAAAGTGCACTCATTAATCAAAAGCCACTTAAATTGTAGACAATACTAATTACATTCTCATAGATCTGTTGTGTATTGCAAATAATGTAACATTATTTGAGTTGTCAATTTAATGCGTGGTCATTGCCCAACCCATTAGAAAACTTGCCTTAAAAGTGAATAAGTAATCTTTGTCATTCTATTATTCCCAACAATAGTACTTACTGTTAATCAAACAGTAGGTGTTAGTATATATATGGTGTTTAAATTATAGTGAAGAATCCACATACTTACAAAACCAGATTCCTTTTAGTTTTGTATCTACTTCTGTTATTCTTTTTATATTTGTAATCATGATATTTCACTTTCGAGTTCTCTATTATGGTTATAGTTGCTCCATGTTTAGTAATGGGTCTTGGCATTAAGTTTTGCACATTTGAGAATTTTTTAGGTTTTAATAGCTGCCCTTAACAATGCACTGACGGTTTTGGACAAGGAGTAGGTAAGTACCCTTCTCCTTCATTGTTCCAACGTTTCTACTTTTTGTTATGTAAAAACGAATTCAATTTTCCTAAATTTATTGTTATTCGTTTTCCTAATTTTTTTTTTTCCCTAGTCTTCTAAATTAGTGTAATTTTGCATCAGAATTGTTGCATATACGACTGTTGATTGCATCATCTTGACATTAATATTCAATTGATTTAGCTTAAGAAATCTGTTATGTCTCTGATTTTGTCAATAATTATGGATTGTTTGATTGGATCGCTGTATCTCTTCTAACTTGGGAAAATTCTTAGAGCTTGCTTGTGGACTTAATTATTAAATGGTTTCTCATTTTATGAAGGTAGTACCTTATAATGTTAATGAAATGCAGAGCGAGTTGGAACTTCCACTCCAATAACTCTAAATAAACGGTAGGAGATATGGAACCTTAGTGTTCATGTTGTGAAGTGGAAATCACACCGAAGTTGACACGTATGATGTTTCTCTCATAATTGTTGAGATAGGTGTGGGACTTAAGTACCCCATTCTGTGAATAAAACAGTCTAATTTTGAAAAGAAAAGTAGCATTGTGCTGAAGTTTGTTGATATTTTTTATTTTTCATTTAATTTTGTAAATGGTGCACATTGCGTATGTAATGTAACGATTGTCGAGTTAAAAAGAGAATACGTATGGTGCACATTTGATAGTTTTCATTTATCGGTTTTGATTGCTTTTTTTTTTTTTTTTTTTTTTGGGGGTTTGAATTGTCATGAGTAAAGTTGCAGAAGAGGACGTTCTGCAGACATTCTTCAAGGAAAGGCAATTCAACGAAGACTTTTTTTATTGAAATAACACGAAATAAGTTTTAATTAGTGTAAATTACTTATGTTGTATATAAATAGTTTTCAAATTATTTAGGTTGAGTATATGTTACCATAAACTTACTTTATGTCATAGCTTTGTTCATTTGTGATTGAGATTGGCAATGTTTGGCTGCCTAGAAAATTGGAATAGATAATATAACAATACTTCAAGAAATAGTAAATACACAAGTTTTGTAATTTGCTCCCTTGTTCTAATCAGTTTCTCAAAAAGATAAACAAAGATTTACTTTTATGAAGTGTTAATGTATTTATTGTAATCAGAAATAGAGACTAAAGTACCTTCAATTTGTTCAAGTGGCTGCCGCTCATGCAGCAGTTTGCTTTACAAACCTTTGCGGTTAGCTTTCATATAGTATGTTTGAGGATATTTCTACATCTTAATCTCTGCTTTCTCTTTGGTTGCTGCAAATTTGTAATTTTACTTGCTACTTAATTATAAAAATGTAAAATTTATGATGTGTTTATATGACCTTTTAGCCAAATATAGGAAAATTTAACTGAAAAATAACCTCTCCACTCACGTAGGCTTGATTTACAAATTTGTATTCGATTTTAGACATTTTTATTTGATTGATATTTTGACTTTTGTACATTTAAATAATATCTTTTGACCAATGAGTGTAAACAGAATTGTAAACATCGTTGTAAATATGTGTAAATAGGGTTGTAAACCCCACCGTTGAACACCTACTATAGTTTTACATATACATATAAATTTTCGCATGTTTTGTAAGGTTTTAAAAACACCCGCAACATCACATGGGCACACTTTTGCTAGCATATTTTGAGTTCAAAGAATTTTCCAACAAAACTGTATTACGAAGTTCTACAAACACGATCTATAAGAATTGAACATGAAATCCACAAATATAATCGGTAAAAAACTCATCGATTTCTAGACTTGTTATGTCACTAGATCATGTTCTTTTTGAATTCATGTATGTATGCATTATATTTTGCGTCTAACAACGATACAAGAAAATCCTATCTCATTGCACTAGCTACTTAGCTAGGGTTCGATCAACGTTTCTTGTTTTGGTAAATGTTGTAAACTTGTAGTAAGCATTTGCCGATCCGAATATGGTAAAATTAGTAATGCATGCGCGTCCCTCCTTTTCGTTGCAAAAGATAACACCCTACCACTATTATACATAATTACGTGCGTCATTAAATTAGAGAAGCAGATTAAGATTTAATCACCTCAACATTAATTAATCAAGGTCAAGGACTTTTTTATTTAAAAAAAAGAATCATGTGAATACTGTGAACTCTTTAACTGAATGGGCAGCTCTCCAACTACGCTGCCACGTGTCGAACTCAAAGTTGTGGGCCCCAACAAAGTCTATGTTGCATGGATATAATTTCCCATAACATTTAAAACTAATTAATTTTTTATTATTTTTCAAAATTTTTGATCAAGAATCTCCCATTCAGCCACGTCACACCATACCCCTAACTCTAGAGAGAGAGAAAAGAATAACAACGCAGCTATTAAATTACGAAACTACCCTTACAATTTTGAACATGGACTCACACAGTCTTTTCGGTACATGTCACTCACACCCTAACGATACCCCTCTCGTTTCTGTCATGTTCAGGAGAGGCACACTAGGCTCACCCGCGAGAAAACACTACATTCTGTGAGACAAAATAACCTCTAAAATTTCTTAACCCTAACACCCTCCTCCTCCGAAACTAGAAAACGATAATCCACAGAATTCCTTCAGCTGCCTCACATCAGGGACTTGAGCGATCTCTCCTTCACCGGCTTCCTCATCCGCCTCCTCCCGCTCTCGCCGCTGCCGTCGAGCTCATCATCATCATCCTCGTCGTCATAATTGAATTCCCCATTCGCAATTGGAGACAAGGGTGAGCGAGGACCGCCCTCATGAGGAGGAGGAGGAGGAGGAGGAGGAGTAGCAGAGCTAGTATTAGTAGCAATTTCACCCTCGGCCTTGGTCTCTTCCTTTTCTTTATCGCAGCCTCTCTTCCGGTTCCGACACGGGCCAAACCCCGAATAGTAATAGAACTCGTAGGGGTTAGAGGCGGATTCCTTCTTCGCCTTCTTCCGGCGGCGGCGGCCCCCGTTTTCCAGCTGAACCACCCCGTTCACTGCGGCGGGATCCTTATTCGAAGAAATGTTGTGATTATTTCCATTATCCCTACTGTTTACATTCCCGTTGGCCTTGACAATGTAGTTCGATCGAAGTAGGGAGAGGTGGTGGTTGCAGAAGGACTGCCCTTGCTTGGCTTTTTTCTTGCATTGCCACCCACGGCCGTCGTTCCGTTGGCAGCACATGCTGCCCATCCTCCCTTCTTCCACCTCCATCTCGCCCTCCGCCTTATTCGAATCCTTTTCGAATTCGACATCCTCCGCCACGGGCTCTTCTATCATTTCCAAGCGTCTTTCCTCCGTGGCATCCCTCATCGACGCCACGCTGCATTTTGTAAGATCGTAACACAGCAACATTTCAAGGACGGGCCGCGAGAAATTTTGAATAATAATATAATTAAGAGAGGGGAGAGATAACACAAAAATAAAAACGAAAGGAAACAGAAAAACCCTAATGCTTGAAATAATAATAATATCGAACCAAATCGGAGAAAAACGAATCGAATCGACGAGAAGAAGAGGCTCACCTCTCGACAGCTCCGATTGAATCACCGAGGCTCCCACCGTAAAAGCTCTCTTCGACATCCCACTACACACAAATAGCCACCCGAAACAACAAAAACCCATCAAAAACTCACATTTCCCCCTCGAAATATCACAAAAGGAAGGAAACCCATTTCCCTAATCGAGCATTAGACGCTAAATACACGAAGAAAACAGGAAATTTTAGGGTTTATGACGAACCCTAATGTTAGGGGAAAAACCCAGAGAACCAAGACAATAAAGAAAACCCTAGCTCCAGAAATGCAGGTAGGAAAACAGAAATTAATTCCCATGAGCTCAAGGGCTTAAGAGGGGCTTCGCAGATCTACCCAGAAATTTAAAGAAAACGAAAATAGATAAAATTATCGAGCTCGAATACACACAGATTTAACTGACCTGGTCGGACTCCGGTCCAAAAGGAATAACATCCCAGGGGTTCCGGTTGAGCTGGCACACGTGCGGATGGAGGTCCCCGGCAGCTGGAGCGTGCGAGGTGAACAGAAGGGGAGAGACCTTGGCGTTCTTCCTGATCCGCATCTTTCTTCTTCGACAGCAAAAACAAAAAAAGTTCCGAAAGAATAAACAAAGATCGTATCTGGGAGGGAAAGATAGATGGAGAGAAACCCAGAAGGGAGTGTTTGGCTGCCGGGAAAATTTTTTCTCTCACTTTCTCGAGGGTTTTCTCGGACTGTGGAGGCTATCGGGGGTGAGAGGGTTTTTTTTGTTTGCGCAGATCTCACAGTACTCGATATAATCAGGGTTTTGTTATTAACTTTTCTGTTGACTTCTCGGCCCCTCGTATTTTATACATTTTCGATTTATAGTACGCTTTTACCATTTTAACCCTAGGTTTGGTGCTATTTACGGAGGCCAGAGGTGGGTTGGTACTGCGCCTGAAAGGAAAGCCTGCCGCTATTACACGTCACGGTATTGTCCAAAAATAATATTTAAAAAATGAAGATAATGAGAGAACTGGCTCCTCTGCACACGCCCCCACAATAAATTAAAGTGGCTAGTCTGGTCATTCCCCTTAGAATGAGAAATTTTTCATTACGACCGAATACGGACGATACATAGCATGTAACCATATAAGTGGAAGAGGGGATTTTTTTTTTTAATTGTTAATTTTTCAACACAAATATTTCATTACTTATAGTAATATACGGTGTCGCACTCTGTGTTTCGAGCACACTAAAACACCCAACGTCTTTTGTGGTAGCAGGACCATGGGAGGGAGGTGGCGCGTGGGTTGAAATATTGGCGAGCCGCGCTCGGGGGGAGCAAGTGGCGAGCACGAATGGCCCACGGGCAATTGTTGGATGAGTGTTCGTGTGCGTGGGGTATTGGAGGAAATTGGGTTCGAGTCAACAGAACGGACGGCTAAAATGGAATCTGATGATAAGATTGATGAGGTGGCACGGCATCCGATACCAGGATTAGGTTGTGCTACGTGTCGGTATGAGGTGGGACTGTTGATAACTTGATATCCATTTTAGCTGATGTTTTAAGGTTTTTATTTAAATTTTTTCTTTACGTTTTTTTGCCTTTTTTTACGTTTTATTTAACTGTTCGGTTTAGATATTTTATGACTGTCCATAAGTGGGGAGAGGGGGTAAAAGGGTAAAACTGTGCGGTATAGTCGCATTGGCATCCCAGTGGTCAACCCATGATATTTGTATTTCTGCAAACCCTATTTGAACGTGTGTTACTGAAATTATAACCATGCTCAATTTTGGTCATTCAATTTAATTTTGTAGTTCTATGGTCCTTCAAATGTGTTTTGTGCCCTATTTTTGTGATCTTTTAGACCATTTAACACTTGATTGATCATTTTTAGTCTGAAAATCCACAATCAAATGGATGTAACGATAAGGATTAAAGTGGGGTACATGACGGAAATATAGGTATAGAGAACTCAAAAATCATATTAACGGACCAAAGTGTTACACGATCATCCTTTTTAAGGACTTCTAGCATTACAAGGAAATTGGCATCACCGTGGTCAATTGATGATGTTATAATTTTATAATTTCACAATACCTTCTGTATCATATTTGTTGCTTGCAGGTTTTATATAGATATAGATTTACGTGTGTGGTGTCTCTATGTACATATTAGCGGTTGTTAGTCAGTAAATACATGACAAGGGGTTACTCTTTCCGTTTCTTTGGCATGCATCGGTCAAGAGATGACAATACACGTTTATTTTGCTCACCTTTTTATATGGATAAAGGTCTACGTGCACGACATCCATCTGTATCTATTAGAGATTCTTGATTAGTAAAAATATAACAAGGGACTACCTTTTTTTTTGTTTCCTTGGCATGCAATATTGGTCAAATTTGGTTGTAATTTAGGAAAAAAATTTATAATTATACACTCGGGTTATTTTTAATGAAACTAATAAAAATGGCTTGAAAACTTTGAGTTTTAATCAAAATGACAAAAAGGTATTGTAAGTGAATAATACCAAGAGTGACTTTTTAGAGTAAAATTATCATTTTTGTTAAAAGTAAATAGTATCGAAAATGTTTTGTTAAAACTCTCTATTTTTAACTCCTATTTGCCCCAATTTGTACCAACATTTGAAAAATGAAAACTCACAAAAGAAGGATTTAAGAAAGAATCAGAGGATATATGTAGTTGTATATGTTATCCTTTGGCTCTCTGTATGATTTCATAAAGCAAAAGAAATTTTAATGATTACATGAATAACAATTTGGTAAATTTTTGGTTGAATGATGACCATAAGCTTCATTGCAAAGCATTGCTTAAAAAATTGGGATATAAGACGCATCCTAGGCAAATATATGATTAATCAAATCAATCTTTTCCTTTTGCAGACAACTTCGATAATGACGATTAAGAAAAAACAACGTCCATTATAGTTTCCTCGACATTTAGAACTTGATCCTAAATGTTTATAATTAGAATGAATAATTGATAAATTATGTCTTTGTCTTTCTAGTACAATATATTTAGATACGGAGAATCAATGATTTCAAGTATTAAAAAGTGCGTTAGTAATGTGATCAATTTTGTGTGTCTGGTTAAATAAGTACTCTTTCAATTATTCTCTATTTAACAGCTTGCATTGATCAAACAAACTTCAAGGTAGATATTGTGCAAATTTGATCTTTAGCAAATGCATTTCTGAATTATTTCCAACAATCTTTCTGGGTTTTCTAGCTTCTGCAAAATTGGACCAAGTCAAGGAAAAAACTATTTCACTGCAATTTAAGCCGAGCAAGTAGATTGGTAGTAATACTTTAACAGCTCTGTTCACCTTGTTCTCGGAAAACGCTCCTTTCATATGAAAAAACCAAATAACTTTATCAGGTCATGAATCTAGAGCTTCTGCAGCAAATTAGAGGGAATCAGATCAGTTTGGTTTGCAGCAAAACTTGGATATCCTGAAAAACCTTAATCAAACTGAATATATGTTACTAATTAGGGTTATTTTTCAAGTAGACATACATTTAGACTTAAAAATGTGCAAACCCTAAACCTAAACAGCAAAACAGCATATATACAGATCGAAGACGTACCAATGTTTCCCAGCAAGTAGCAAGTGCAAGGCAGAAAGTGTCTGGTTACTTTTGGTACTATACTACTGCGGTTCCATATATAATGGAGAGACAGGCAGGGCAGGCACAGCAGCAAATAGGAGGACAAATGGGTCGACCATTGGGTCTTGCTGTCTTGGACTCTTGGATTTTGCTTAATTAGTATTCCCTTCATTATTAATTGTGATTTAGTAAAACTTATATCCACCTGAGTGTATAATATTTATATAGCAAACAACACACGGCCAGCTGTAATGTGCTGCATTTTAGATGGGGAGAGTCCAGCAGTCAAAAGCATCACTAGCTTACCTAATTGCGAGTTTAAATACTCGCCGGGTATTATACGTACATTCTTGAATATTCAAGTTATTCTGTAGCTAGGTTGATTGAGGCAGGGTAATACGGGAGAAGTAGTTTTGGTTTGGCATGCAGCTGAGCTGAATATGTTAGTAGTAGCTGAGCTGAATATTATTGTAGCAGCCTAGCACTAGCAGGTCCCAATGTTAATCTGTCACTAATTTTGTACAAGTGAAAAAATTGGGACAGTTGCTTTGAAATAATTCAATAAATTGAAACCTGGGTCTGTCTGGGTGGACTGGCCCGCATATGCCCTACCACAACCTATGTTTGGCCTTTTTATGCCGCTTTTGTTTGCCATGCCACTTATTTAATAATACTAGATGCATTAAAATTTTAAAATAAATTTTGTAAAACTAAGTAATGTGGTTATGGATGATTGGATTACTTAACAATTGCTTAACTTGCCTATTTATACGGGTGACACATTATTTAGTTTGCAAATTTATTTTAAAATTTTAATCTATCTAGCATTATCAATTTATATTATAAGGATAACATATGGGGATGAACTCATCCTCCCATTTGTAATGACATATTTTCATCGTAAAAATTTCATAATCGGAAATGTTTAATTTCTTCATCTACATAATCATATCTACAAAAAATTATTCGAATGGGCGATCATTTAGTCATCCAAATGTACGTATCAAATAGAGCAATGATTCATCATAAATATGCTACTTGATACCTACACAACTATTGGGTAAACATAGATCCCAGAGAACGAGTTTAAGCAGCATTACTAGAAGAGGGAGTTGATGAGGTTATTAGACCGGGGACTGGGTCTTGTGACAAAAAACCTATTAATAAATAAGGACACATTTCAACTACTTCCCAACAAATATAAATTTGTATAAAATTATAACTAGTAACTAATCCCAATTGATTTTTTTTTTTAATACAATCTGATGGCTAACCCCAATTCATATATTTGTTTTTGTAGGAATAATCTTCAAATGAAGATTTAAAGGTTGAATGGCTTCGGTATGAAATTTTACTTTCAAATTCAACACTTGAATTTTTGTGGTTATTCCATTTCGGTGCATAAGAGGGGAAATAGGTTGGTTCTAGATTGATAAGGTGTTTTGCAAACCAAAGTGAAAAAAGGAAATAAATGTTATGCCGATGAGAGATTCATAAACGATAAAATGATACAAATGATAAGGTTTAGAAGTTTGAAAGAGGCCCCACCCAATCCATTAGCAAATTTATATTGGGCCACTACCCAACAAATCAAACTAAATTATTATCAGACCGATAGATTGCAAGCCGAATAATAATATTTAATATATATTATCATTTCTCCTCGTTAATACAACTATTTTCGAAGTCCAATAATAATACAAAATGCTCATTAATTGAAATGCCTCCTAAAACTATCATTTAGCCACAAATTACCATCTGAAATTGGTTTTGTCTCATTTTGTCCTTTAAAATTGACTTTTTAAATTCTTTTGGTCTCACTTCACCCACATTTCATCAAAGAATTGTAAACTTTTAAGGGTATTTTAGACATTTACTTACCTCTAACGTACACACTAAACCAATCTCGATTTCAAACCCCATGAGTTAGGGCCTTTTTAAAAAATAAATGATTCAATCAATAAAAAAATACTGAGCAACAATGTGAAATTTTTTATTGCAAACTATGCACATTTGCTATAGATGATATTTTTGGTTAGGGAAGTATTTTGGAATTTGGACATGATAGCTTGATGCTTTTCTTGAGATTATATTTGCTGCAACTAATATGGGATCATTTTTTTTATGGGTGAAACTTGTGGTTAGGCCAATTCGAGTAGAAAGATATCTTGAGTAGGCTGATCATGTTTC